CTTGAGAAATACTGACCGTGTTCTTCCCTTTTGGTTTTCTAACTCCAAATCCCTGCACATTTTATTATAGTATTTGGCTTTATCTTCTCGAGCTCCAAAAGTGGAGATAGGAATGATAAAATTCAAGGGAATGGAAAGTGAAAAATAATAAGAAGAAAGAGTAAGCAATCAAAAAACAGTGCAGCTGTTAAACTTGTAAAGGTGAAAACTCTGGAGGGGTCCTGCCAGCCAAGGAGCTCATGAGATTGGTGACAGAGGGATGTGACAGCAGAGTTCCTGGCGCTAGATGGCATTCCTATTGGAATAGGTGTTATCTATATTCAGGGCACTCAATCTGGAAGTACTTCATGGAGGCCCTTGAGGAGCTGGGTTTAGTGTCTGATAGGACCATAAGACAGCTGGGAGTGGGGTGGCTGGTTATGAAGGTTTCTACTAGACTAATGTAGATCTGTAGCTCTGCAGGTTCTGTAGGTCTGGAGCCAAACCTGCCTGAATCCAGGCACCAAAGAAGCCCATCCAGCCCCCACTTTATACTGGCGTGGCTCCCAACCACGTGGCTCTGAACTCCCAGAGAGCAGGATGTGCCCTGAGAATGGAAGCTAGCCATACCTCTAATCACCAGGGGATCGTGGGGAAAAATAAATAATCACATCTTCCCTACCACCTGTGTGAATCAGCTCTGCCAAGTTCCCTTCTGTCACCAAAGCTGCTCACAGTTCTCAAGGTGGTCGTGTCAGTCTCCCTCTCTCACTGTCCTTTCTCAGTTTCTCCTCCCAGAAAATACTCAATCCACTTCTCTAACCTTTCCTATGACGTTTATGGTTCCATGATTTTCATCTGTGTCTGTTGCATTTTGTCTGTTGTATCTTGATTGTAGAAGGTCCATGTAGTGCATCTGCCATCTTGCCAGAAGTCCTAAGATGATTTTATTCTGTCTGAACAATACTCATTTATATTTCCCTTAGTGTGGGCCTTCTGGTAATGAATTATTTCTGTTTATGTTTGTCTGAAATGCCTTTTTATTTTATCTTCACTCCTGAATGACGATTTTATGGGTCATGTTGATTTTCTCAGGACGTTCAAGGTACCATTACAATGCCTTCTGAATTTCCTTGCTAATACTCAGAAGTAAACTTAAAGTCTATTTGCTGATATTATGAAAGTAACTGACCTTTCCCCCCTCTGATTGCCTTCAAGATTTTTTTGTCTTTGATATTTGGCATTTGTACTGTTTTTTTGTCTTTGATATTTGGCATCAGTCTGTTTTGTTTTTTTTTTTCTTCTTCTTCTTGTTGCTGCTGTTAAGTGCTGTCAAGTTGGTTCTGAACCATAGAGACCCAGCATCGGGTTTCCAAGGAACAACCAGTGAGCTTGAACCACCGACCTTATGGTTCAAACTGACTTTGCAGTTCAATGCATTAACCTGCAGTGCCACACCAGGACTTAGGGTATATTGGGATTTCTAAATATGAATATTTTGAATTCTTTCATCACATTTGAAAAATTCTCAGCCCTTGTTTCTTCTGTTAAGTTCTTTTGTTATCTTTTTCTGGATGAAAAGACCTTATTACTATATCACTATAACTGAAAGTGTATTTTGCATTTTTTCATCTTTTAATCTCTGCCCTTTATTATGGATTTTTCTTTCAGCAGTTTTCTACCATCCCTAATTTGCTATTCAACCCATCCATTGAGTTCTTAATTTATTTATAATTTTAGTCCTGGGATTTCATTTTGGTTCTTTTGGACCTTTCATTTTTTACTTTAGTTCCAAGTTCTTAACTTTTCAATTGTATTGATAATCTTTTTGGACACATACAACGCAGTTATTTTTTAGTTCGTATTGGATAATTCTACAACCCTACAAATCTGTTACTATTAACTATTGTTTCATATCTGTTTCTTTTCTTGCATGCATAATTACATTTGGTAGTGTGCCCACCAATACATTTGAAAAATTGAAAAATAATAGTAATAAGACACAGGATGATGTTATTGTCTTCTTTGGGGGATTTTTTTTTTTTTTTTTTTTTCTATCAGGGACATGAAACTACTAGTAAAACAAGATGACCTGAGTAAATTTTAAAGATGGAAACTTTCTGGGTAATCCAGTTGCTTCAAAGCTGAGGGTGCAGTTCACACAAGTTCTGATTTATTTCTAGTTCACTGTCCTGTTAGCATTGAACCCTTTGTGGTCCCGACCCAAATAAGATGTGAGAGATTTCTCATGGCTCTCACCTTTGGTGGGCTCTGGCTTCCAACTTTTGTCTCCCTGGTCACACATGTCTATCAGAAGTGCTATTTCTTAGGTACCGTTCCTGGCATTAGCAGATGCTCCTTGAGTAAAAAATACAAAGCAAGCCTATACCTGTCAAGCTGACTCCAACTCAGAGTACCTCTAAGACAGAACAGAACTTCCCCATTGGGTTTCCAAGGCAGTACTTTTTACAGAAGCAGACTGCCACATTTTTCTCTCACAGAGTAGCTGGTGGGTTTAAACTACTGACCTTTCAGTTAGTAGTCAAATGCTGAACCACTGCACTACTAGGGCTCCTTGCTAAAGTTAAAGTAGCTTTGCCACCTTGGAATTCAGTCATCACCTAGATTCTTAATTTGGAACTTATTCATTAGTACTTTGGTGTGGCGCTCTGGGCTAAAGCATCAGACTGCAAAGTCATTTGAACTGCAAGGTCAGCAGTTCAAGCTCACCACCTGCTCCTTGGAAACCCTATACAGGGTTGCTATGGGTCGGGATCAACTCGATGGCACTTAACAACAACAACAATGCTTTAAAGAGGATCTTGACACTTTCTTTTGCATCTTTTTTTCTTTTCCTCAATGGAAGGTAGGTTCAAATTACCCAATTTCCCTTTATCAAAAGTTGAAGTTTCTTTTTGCTTCTCTTCAAGTGGTTTTGGAATATTCTCTAAAAGTGTGAAATAACTACTCCTCCAAAAAGCACTAATAGAAGACTCACATGGGAGTGGGGAGCTTCGGTTAGACATGTAAATCCATGAACAAGATCTTACAGTGCCATAGTCACTATTCCAAAGCATGGGAAAAGGATGGAAATTATTTTTATGACATGAACATAACATTAATGACAAAGTCTGACAAAGGGCACAGGTGCATGTGAGTACAAACACACACACACACAAATCCCCAGGCTCTTCTGTAGTAATTAGTATCTCCAGGAATGCCATTTAGTCTTCCTGGTTTCGGGTTACAATCCCCCTAAAGATGACAGTTCTTATTCCCCAGCTTAAAAGTAAAAGTGCAGTACTAACTCCTATATGGATCACCGAGAGTCAAGTAAAGCCTTTCAGTTCACTGAGGGGAAGACAGGTGAATCGAAGTTAAAGGGGCCAGACATGGGTCTGATTACTGAGCTGCCTCTTTCTACTTCATGTCTATAAAATGGAAAATCAATGCTCATGAGGTGGTTGACTATTCAGTGAAAGAACGTTTTTAAAGAGCCTGTGCTGAATGAATATTAGTTTCTCCTCTCTCTTACCTTTTTTTTTTTTTTTTAGTTATTTTTACATATTCTGAGTATACATTTATTTATTTTAGAATGATTCTGAAAATGTCATTTTATTTGCATAGGCATTACATACTGAAGTCATCCGTATTCACTGCCCAACTTTCACATGTATATGTTGTTGTTTTTGTTAAGTGCCGTCGAGTCAATTCTGAGTCATAGTGACCCTGTATAGGATTTCCAAGGAGCATCTGGTGAGCCTGAACCACTGACTTTGCAGTTCCAACAGCTTTGCATTCTTACACATTAATCCATATGAGGTTATTGAAAATACCATGGCTTGGGTCAGGCACACCTTAGTCCTCAAGCTGACATCTTTGCTCTTCAATGCTTTAGAGAGGTCTTGTGCAGCAGGTTTGCCCAATGCAATATGCCTTTTGATTTCTTGACTGCTGCTTCCATGAGTGCTGATGGCTGAACCAGGAAAAATGAAGTCTTTGACAACTTCAATCTTTTCTCCACGTATATGAATGTTGTTTATTGGTCCAGTGGTAAGGATTTTTATTTTCTTTACATTGTGATACAATCCATACCAAAAGCTGTGGTCTTTGATCTTCATCAGTAAATATTTTAAGTCATCCTCTCCCTTACCTTTGATCTGAATTATAAGATTGAAGGCATTTCTACGTGCCCTGAGGGACTAAGATTCTAGAAGCTTGGAAAGAGATGTGTAGAGCAACTTTCTAGGTAGCAGGGCCAGGGCAAGTGCATCTCAGCAAGGCAATGGTAAGCAGCAATAGATGAGACAGAGTTTTGGCCAAGAGGAGAGCTACAAAGCGGGGAGGGTGACTCCTCTCCCAGTGAGAAAGGACTTCCTTGACTGGTAGTTGTTTATATTTCAGGGTCATTGGAGAGAAGACAAAATATGTCGCAAGAGGAATAAATATTGCCATTGTCAACTGTAAGTCATGAAATGTTTTCTTTTAAAACTCTGTAATCGGGTTTTCAAAATTGTCTGGGCATTAGATTATTTTAGAACACGACCTGTCTGTGTTTACATTGTAATGCATCTAAATATTACAAGGACTCCTGGTGTGGTGCTGTAGGATCAGCACTGGACTGTGAACCACAAGGTCGGCAGTTCAAACCCACCAGCTGTTCCTTGGAAACCCTTTACAGGGTTGCCACGAGTCGGAACCAACTTGATTGCACTTAAAACAACATATATTACATATTATTTTTGCAATGCCTCATTTTACGAATTATTTGTAGTTTCAAGAAAAATAACTTAAAACCATATCCACAAGACACATAAATAAATACACTTTAAAAAACAAAAAGACTCAGACTTTCAACCAAATGAGCACAGTTCATGGGGACATAGATAGTTCCTGGCATTAAACCTGGAAAAAAAATTCTGTCAAGATTGACATGGGAGTCACTGACACTAAATGCCCTAAATAGCAGGTTTGGGAAGACAGTTTCATACGGTGTTCTCATGAGTGAGCTAAGATTTGTCCAGTGAAAGTGGGGATCTGAGACAAAAATGTTCCCAATGTGATAATCCAGTAGGAAACTCACAGTACAAAAAGGAAAGAGACATCCAAGTGTCCTTCAGGCCTCCTGAAAATGCAGCTCATTTTCACCGGGCTTTGCTCCAAGATAAACAGCAGACAACTAGAAGCTGTATTTCCCAGTAAGACCCTGGAGAATGGAGAAGAAACCTTACAGATTAGGATGACTTTCATTTTGGACTGTGTTGCTTCTAATTACAATGAAGACACTACTTTCATTTGACTTCTTCCTCCCAATACACGCTCCTGTGGATTTTAGTTCCTTAGTCCCTCCAAGCAGCTCATCACAGTCTGTATGGTTGACTGACTGTAAAGTGGTGGTGTTAACTGCAGGTGTAGACTCCTGGCTCATGGCAACCCCATAAAGGACAGAGCAAAACACTGACCAGTCCTGCACCATTCTTATGATTGGCTATGTTGTTGTTGTTGTTGTCAGGTGCCATCGAGTCAGAACCGACTCATAGTGACCCCATGCACAGCAGAACGAAACAATGTCTGATCCTGGGCCAACCTCACTACCGCTGCTACATTGACACCATCAATGATGCCACCTGGCTGATCCATCTAGTTTGGGGTCTTCCTCTTTTTCTCTGACCCTCCATCTTACCTAGCATGACATCCTTCTCCAGTGACTGTTCTCTCCTGACAATATATCTAAAGTATGAGAGACAAAGCTTAGCCATCCTGGCCTCCAAGGAACACTCTGGCTGCACTTCTTCCAAAATAGATCTATTGGTTCTTTTGGCAGTCCATGGGACTTTTAGTATTCTCCTCCAACACCACAGCTCAAAGGCTTGATTGGCTATGGATCAAACAATAGTGAATCTTAGAGACTTTATTGGTTAAATGTCAGAAGCAGATTGCCTGGTGCTTCTTCCAAATCCAGCCAGTTATCAAAGCAGCACATACTTCTCCCCTGACAGAAAGTTGTTGGTTGTGTAGGAGGTACATTGGTCAAGACAAAATGGGAGTTCTGTGTGGCAGGCGAGGATTTTCTTACTGAACATTCACTGCCCTCAAGGTTGTTAGTAGAGCAGGACAGAGCAGCATCACCCCCTGACCAAGTGTTGCAGCCCTCTAGGGAAAGACACACAAAGAAGTGCTGAACTACTTCCTAGGGAAGGCTTGGCAGCTGCCACCCCCAAATCCCACTACTCTACAGAGCCGAGTCTGAGTCCCTGTTTCTGAGTGAATATCCCATTTCTCCTTCACAGGCCACACTTCCCCGTTACCTGCCTCAACCCATGCACGCACACAGCCATGCATGCCAGTCAGGGAATTGTCTCACATTTTCAGGGCAAGACCATCTGTAGAAATGGCCCTTGGATTTCTATTTTCCCTCAGTGCAGGGCAGGGCAGGGCAGGGCTGTCTCAGTGCTGCTTTTGTCTTTCCCAAATGACTTCCACTGGAAATACCATTTTGTTCTTGTTGTTAAGTGCCTTAGAGTCAGTTCTGACTCACAGTGACCCTGTATAGGGTTTCTGAGGAGCAACTGGCACCAAAGAACAGTTTGAACCACCAACTTTGTGGTCCAGTGCTGATCTTACAGTGCCATATCAGGACTCCAGAAGTACCCAAGAAGTCTCCATTAGAGGTGGATTACACAATAAGTCAGATAAGCATGAGTTTACTTGTTCTTCCTTATTAATCTGTAGTGAACAGATTAAAGATATGGTTAAAGACATATGAAATTGTTCACTACAAATTACTAAGTAAGCCTGTGCTTATTGGGTACTCTGCCCTTGTAAATTTGAAAAGTTGCTTTGATTCTGTAGGAAGGTGTTGTGGGATGGGGTGAGAGACAAATGCCAGCTATACTAGAAACAGCTTTGATGTGGTAAAAAAAAACGTGAAATTGTTCACTGCACATTAGTAAGTAAACACAAGTAAGCCCATGCTTATCTTGCTTATTGAGTAATCCAACACTGACTAGGGCCAGCACTACCAGAGCCCCTGGGAGCAGGGCTGGCTGAGTTAGGGCTCTGGTGTTTCTGTGGAGAAAAAAGGAGTGGGTAAGGGAAGAGTATAAAGGTCAAATTTAAAAGCAGACAGGATGAAAGTTCTAGAACAGTTGACTGGCACCCCTGTCATTTTCATTGTACTTTGATAACACTTCCCAGAAAGATCCCTCTCTCAGGTGGTCTCTTCCCATCCGCCATGTCTGTTGGAGAAATCCGCCATCTTGCCTCATGGATTCAGACGAACTTCCTTTTTAAAAAGTTTTTATTTTATTTTCAGATGTAACAGGAAAGGTGATAGAAACACGTTTTTTCGATATGTATGAAGGTGGTAAGAAAGTTATTTTCCTATTCAAATAACAATGTGTTGAAAACATAAAATTAAGATGTAAATCGCTTGAACAAAAATGTCAAACTGCCTTATCTTTTTCTATGAAAGATAAAAATGAGTAGCCACATAAGTGAGTTTTCTAGCATAGTCTTATCAAAATCCTCCTAGGTTCTCATTGAGTTCATGCAATAAAGTATTAAGGCATCATTTAGAACATCTCTTCTCTGATCACATTTTTCTGTGTCTCTCGCTTCTGTGTCATCCTCCAATAACAGAGAAGAGAAAATCTCTCCTTCCTTTTTTTTTAAACCAAAGTCTATTGAAAATAATATCATCAGCATCCATTCTGAATATCATCAGCCTTGCCTGAAAAAACCCCACCATCATTACTGCTGTGCTTCCAGAACCTGGCTAGGCTGGGGGCAGAAATTTCTAGAACTACTCGACTCATTCTACTCCCATGCTCTTGCCATTCTGGGCATTGAATCATGGCTACAGTTGTTCTAATAAGTCAGACGAGACCAGTCCCTCTTGTTTGCACTGGATTCTTATTGAAACAAGTCTTTATAAAGATCATGGAGGAAAATAAGAGAAAATACACATTGTGATGTCTGGCCCTAAGCCATCCCCATGATCAGATGGGGATTGAACTGCTATGATCCATAGGGTTTTCACGGGCTAATTTCCAGAAGTAGATCTCCAGACCTTTCTTCATAGTTGATCTTAATTTGGAAGCCCCACTGAAACTTGTTCAGCATCATAGCAAAATGCAAGTCTCCACTGATAGACAAATGTGGTGGTTGCAAGAAATGCAATGGCCAGGAATCCAATAGCTATTTACCACTTAGGGTTATTGAACACAGAGGAAAGCAATAGAAAATGCCTACATCCACTTGATGGGAACTCTGCATTTCTATCTATAGTTTACTTAACACATAATTATAAATAAGAAGCCCAAGTGACAAATAAAGGAATCTCAAAATTGATGGACCTTCCTAATCAATCTCTTTCTTAGCAAAGACATCCATGTTTCGGATTGGTCTTCCTTTCCCTGATTTCCAGTTCTGGAGGTCCCCTCTGTTCTTTATCAGCGTCACACATGTGGCTGCCCTAGACTGGGATGTTCATGGCTGTGGGTTTGGGGTCTTTATTGCTAATTGCAGAGAATGTTCTACCTGTGCTGTCAAGGGTATTACCAATTGGCTTGGGAGTTTGGCTAATGGGATCCTTATGATCTCATTTGCAAGAAGGTACTTTCCCCCAGTGGCTCTAGCTACCTTTTTTATTAGTCACCAGAGCTCCCTGCCATAACCCCTTTTCACTACAACTGTGAATATTGTTCCAACAAGCTTTCCAATGAGTTCTTTTCCTTCTATAAGCACTACTGCCCACTGGGATGGTCCCACTGTAGAACCACAGTAACAATTTATTAGTAAAGACCAGGAGACATTTGCATGGGGGCGGGGTAGTGCTCTAGAAAGTCAGAAGGATTCAGAGTGGACATGGAGTCCACATGCAGAAGAAAGCCCAACATCTAGGTCAAGACTCTTGGTTATGAGACAAGATCCTAAAACTGATTTCCCTTGATCCAACAGATAACTCTGGACTGTTGACAAAGTTTATTCAGAGTGCACCTCAGAAATCCCTGCTCCTCATGGTGACCCACGATGATGGAAGCAGGAGGTAAGTACTTTCAGATGGTCACAGCCATGGGCAGAAGAAGTCAGCAAGACAGATAGTGTCAGACCTGACACTCTTCAGGGCCTCAGTAACATTGTCTAGGAAACAAAGAAAAACCTCAAGGAACCAGATGCTTCTTTAAGGAAAAAGAATAACAGCCCATAACAAAACAGACTTTGTTTCTAAGGAGAGAGAGTGAAGAGAGAAGAAGCCAAATGGGCAACCAGTGGTGCATTTAAACAATAGAGTCTAGGGAATGTTTTCTGTAGCAAGATGAAGCTACAGTTGAGAATTAAGGTTAAAAAACTAAGCCCAGCTAGGAAAGCTAAACCCAAGCTGGGGCTTACATAAATATGAAAGGAAATTGAGGTTGTTGTTGTTAGGTGCCATCAAGTTGGTTCCAACTCATAGCAACCTTCTGCACAACAGAATGAAACACTGCTCAGTTCTGTGCCATCCTCACAATCATTGTTAAGCTTGAACCCACTGTGCCAATCCATCTCATTGGGGGGCTTTCTCTTTTTCACTGACCCTCCACTTTACCAAGCATGATATCCTTCTCCAGGAACTGATCCCTCCTGAAAATATGCCCGAAGTATGAGAGATGAAGTCTTGCCTTCCTGGCTTTTAAGAAGCATTCTGGCTGTACTTCTTCCAACACAGATTTGTTTATACTTTGGCACTCCATGGTACCTTTAATATTCTTCCCCAACACCATAACTCAAATATATGGAGCAAAAGAGGAGTAAAGAAATACTTACATACATATACACACTTGCATGCACAAGCATGCACTCGCAACATATGGGACAAATTGTCTGAGTTCTCTAGTGCAGCTGTAACAGAACACCACAATTGGAGGGCTTTAACAAATGGAAATTGATTTTCTCACGGTTTAGGAGGCTAGAAGTCCCAATATAGCATGCTGGCTCTAGGGACAGGCATGCTCTTTTGTTGGCTCTGAAGAAAAGTCCTTGTCTCCTTTCAGTATCTGTGGGCCCAGCATTCCTTGGAGCTCTCCATACAGCTCAACATCAATCTTCCCTTAGATCTAGGAGCATCACAGTGCAGGGACTCCAGGTCCAAAGGATGTAGTCCTCTCTCTGCTCTTATATTTACTTCTCTCTCCTTTTCATATTTCAAAAGAGACTTGTTAAAGATACAGCCTAATCCTATAGAGGCATCTGGCCTCATTAACATCATGTTGTTGTGAAGTGATATCAAGTGGGTTCCAACTCATAGCAACCCTGTATAGGGTTTCCCAGGAACTACTGGTGGGTTTATACCACCAACTTTGTAGTTAATAGTTCAGTGCTCATCTTACAGCACCACATCTGGATTCCCATTAGAAGTGAGAACTCAAAGGATCATTCATAAGATTAGGACTGATCACGTCAGATCCCTTCATGGGTGCCGGGGTTTGCCCTCGACATAGTTGTGTTGTTCACGAGTGTTTGGTTCACGAGGAGGGGAGATCCAGCGGCGATAGGGATAGCGAAAGAATACACAGACAAACAGAAGAAGGGAGACAATGAGGCACCCCAAAGCCAGGGTGGATACATCACTGGTGGGCAGGCTTGGGACTACAGGCATCATGGCCTCTGCAGGCAGCGACTCACTGCCCTGCAATCTTTACTGCATGCCTTCCAACCAGTAATGCACTGCAATCTTTACTCCATGCCTTCCAACCAGTAATGCACACCTGGGGAGGCCTGGGCCTCTGCTTTATTTAGGGGAGGAGTTTCACACCAAGCTGAGAGGGACTAAAACAGGATACAGCTAACATCAGCAATTTTCCAGACATTCAGGTAACTTTACATTGTACTTCACTGGTTCGAATCCCAGGCCAGCAACTTGGAGTCTCAGGCCCAATTAACATATCTATAGCCCCTGAGGTCAGTTGGGGGAAGGTGAGAGTTCTGCAGGAGACGCCCAGGTGAATGGGCTGCACCTGGAAAAGGGATTAGGGAGGATGGGTTCTTTGTCTATAGAACAAAGAACCGAGAAGTAGCTAAGATATTTTTAGTTAATCCTTTGGAGAAAGGTTTAACCTTGCAACCTTTAGTCTCGGCTTTAGGAAAATATCACATTTATCTGTGGATTTTCAAAGTCTCCATGTATTAATTTAATATATATAACTGAATATTAAGATGAAAGCAATTTGCCGTTAACTGCCAGTGGCCTCATTTGTTACACTCGGGCCTATAGGGCCTCGAACCTCTGACCAGTCTTACACGGTCCGCAACACATGGGAGTGATTGATTCATATTAGATCTCATCGTGGAAGTAATAACTATATCTTAATTGCTAAACCACTGAGAATCCAGGCCCAGCCATGTTGACACCAAACCCTAACACAGTCTCACACAGCAGTATTACTAAGGAGAAGGAGGATGCAGCTCTGTGGGTTCTACTAAGTAAGTATAAATGTGTTTACTGCTGATCTTGTACGAACCTCAATGAGCCTATTTGCAGATGGTCACAGCCATGGACAGAAGAAGTCAGCAAAACAGAAAATGTCAGGCATGAAACTCTTCAGGGCCTTTAGTAATGTTCTCCAGGAATAACAGTCCAATGCTCATCTTACTTCTTTGAATCTCCAAGATGGGGCTACACAATGCAATTACTAGACACACTGAAGATGAACTATGTGTGACAGCTTACACATACGTCATCTTTTAGTATCCCTATAGGGTCACTTTTCATCAGAATCTAGTCATTGGGACGCCTCCCTGTGGTTACTAATGACCTTTATCCAAAGGGCAAATAAATTTCTCCCATCGTTATGGCAGGACTAGGTTTGTAACTGGGAATCAGGGGCCTGATGAAGCTAGCTTCCCTGAGGGTTATATGTCAGAGAGATGGCTCCTAAGTCCTTGAGTTTTAAAACCATTCCTGGACTGTAAAGCCAAGTAGTGATACTCTCCAGGAAATGATGTTAAAATAAGACTGGTTCAGAAGAGGAGGGAAATCCTTTTGTGCCATTAAAAAGGTTTGCATACATTTCTAAAGAGATAGAGAAAAAATGGACAAATACAGATCTTCTACAGTAAATGTATTCAGAGAGGCAGGGGTGGGACAGAAGACTCGTCCCCTTTGTGCACCAAAATGCATTTATTTTTACTTTGTCTATTGGTATTTACCCTTACAATTCAACCAGACTGAGCTATCCAGTAGTATTTTGATTGATTATGTGCCATGGAGTCAGTTCCGACTCATAGCGTCCCTGTACAGGGTTTCCGAGACTGTAAATCTTTACAAGATCAGAAAGCCTCATCTTTCTTCCATGAAGAAGCTGGTAGTTTTGAACTGCTGACCATGCGGTTCACAGCCCAATTCATAACCACTATGCTACCAGAGCTCCAGCTGCAAACCTCAAGGTCAGCAGCTTGAAACCACTAGCTGTTCTGCTCCCGTAAAGATTTACAGCCTCGGAAACCCTGCACAAGGTCTCTATGAGTCGGAACTGACTCCACAGCACACCACCACTACCACCATACAGTAAAAAAGGAAGAGAGGCTATTTAGAAATCTCCGTCTAGGAACAAACACACAGATAACGTGAGCTTCTCCCCATGTAAGACAATCACGTGTCTTCCTCTGCTTCCCAGGCTGAAGGATGATGCCAAGAATGCCATCGAAGCACTTGGAAGTAAAGAAATCCGCAACATGAAATTCAGGTCAAGCTGGGTATTTCTTGCAGCAAAAGGCATTGAACTTCCTACAGGTATTCAGAGAGAAAAGGTGAGTCCTTTTGCAATATCCCTTCACACAAATGGTCAGAATGAAGAAGTACTGTGATCGCCATGAGTCAGAATCAACTTGACAGCAGTGAGTCTGACTAGAAAACGTGGTCGGTCAGGCTGAACTCCCTACCTGCAGACTGGTCCTTATTGAGAGAATGCCACACAGAGTGGGTGTGCCTCTGGTGGTATCTAGAAGCAGGCTGCCTGGGTTTGTATGCTGGTTCCCTGATCACTCTATGTGTGCCCTGGAGCAACTTCACAACCTCTCTTTGCCCGCATTTCCTCACTCCTGTTGCTGTCAGTTGTCATCACGTCAGTCCCCCCAACTCATGGCAGTTCAATGAACAATGGAACAAAACACTGCCCAGTCCTGTGCTGTCTCGTGATTGGTTGTAGGATGGACTGTTGTAGTACATAGATTTTTCACTGCCTAGTATAAGGAGCTCTGGTAGCGTAGTGGTTACAAATCCGGCTGCGAACCTCAAGGTCAGCAGTTCAAAACTACCAGCTGTTCCATGGGGGAAAGATGAGGCTTTCTGATCCCATAAAGATTTATAGCCTCGGAAACCCTATGCCGAGTCGCTATGAGTCGGAACTGACTCCATGGCACACCACCACCACCACCACCACCATTGCCTAGTATATTCGATTCTGTCTTAGTCTAGAAGCTCCCAAGAAACCTATTAATATCATAGCAACACACAAGCCTCCACTGACAGACAGGTGATGGCTACATATCAGGTGCATTGGCCAGGAATCAAACCGGGGTCTCCCTAATGGAAGGCAAGAGTTTTACCACTGAGCCATCAATGCCCTCAGGCTGCCTCATTCCTAAATTGGAGAAAGGAGTCCCTGCATGATGCAAATGGTTAACACTCTAGGCTGCCAACCAAAAGGTGGATGTTCAAATCCACCCTAGGGTACCTCAGGAGAAAGGCCAGGCAATATACTTCTGGAAAAACAAACAAAAAATCAGTCATTGAAAACCTTACAGAGCACAGTTCGATTCTAATAGAAGTGGGGTCACTGAATTGGTGTTCACTCAACAGCAACTGCTAAAGGCATGGAAAGCATTAGGTCTTCCACACAGTGGGCTCTTGATGTGCTGGTATTATGTGTAAAGCAGCCCGTCACAAAGTGTTCTGAAACCTTTCCCTTTAGAGCCGTATTTGAAAAGCACTTGTTTGAAAATGCAACATTCTCAAATCTCTTTAATGCTAAACGGACTCTTGGACTTCTGGTGCGGTGCTATAGGATCAGTACTGGACGGTGAACCACAAAGTTGGCAGCCCAAACCCACCAGCTCCTCCTTGGAAACCCTATACAGGGTTGTTATGAGGTGGAACCGACTCCACGGCACTTAACAAATGGACTCTCAGCGTTGACTTTCTAATGCACTGCCCCAACACAGTCCATTCTGAGTCTCCCTGTCCCTGAACACCCAGTTAACCTCTCTGTGCCTCTGTTTTGGGACTAGAAATCATGCTTACCTCTGCGGGTGGTTAGAATCTCAGTTGCTAATTAAAAGGTTAGACGTTTGAATCTATGCAGTGAGTGGCACCTTGAAGAAATGTCTGGTGATCTACTGCTAGAAACCCACAGCCATTGAAAATCCCAAGCAGCATAGTTCTACTCTGTATACATGAGATCACCCTGGGTCAGAGTCAACTCAGTGGCAGCTGGTAATTCTTAAGGCAGGGAGAGGGTTAACTGAGGTGATACAGGCAGAGCATTTAGCACAGACTGGGTAGACACCAAGGACACACTTGTAAATAACTTTCAGTGTTCACTGCTGTCATCACAGTGTAGTAATCCATTTCCTGACTGATTACAAACTCCTCCCATTGTGTTCCTTGTTGATCAAATAAAAACAAAGAGCAAGACAATGAAGTCGTAACTAATAAAGTACTAAGTCACCTACCAAAATTCCAAAGGAAACTTGGAAAAACGTGTCTGACTCATGATCTGATACATGTTTGCGGATGATGAGGCCAGCCCCTTTTCAGTGGTGCTGCTCTCCAGGAAACAATGTTAGTTGAGAAGAGGAAGGAATGGACGACACTGCCAGGAGCACATGAAAGCTGGATAATGCCAAAGGGAAGGACCAGAGAATTGGCACATTTAAATTATGGTGTTGGTGAAGAATACCCAAGATGCCCTGGATGGTCAGAAGGACGAACAAATCAGTCTTGGAAGAAATAAAACCAGAATGTTCTTTAGAAGTAAGGATGGTAGGATAAAACCAACCACTAGTAAAGGACATCTTGTTTGGTAAAGTACAGGGTCAGTGGAAACGAGGTAAGCCCTCCTTGACATGGGTTGGTTCAACAAAGTGGCTGGCTGCAACAGTCAGCACAAACCTACCAATAATCATGAAGATGATGTTGGACCGGGTACCACTTTATTCTGCTGTACAGACGAGTAAGGCTACCATATGTCTGGGCTGCCTAGACAGTGGCTATCAAAAGGCAAGGAGCAAGACCTCCACAGTAGACCTTATGAAAATATGGTCCTTCTTTCCTTTTAGCTGCAAGTTCAAAGGTGTCAGAGATCTCTAAGTTGCCAGGATGCATAATAGTTTGCCTCTGATTTCAGGCTCAGACATTGGGGTCTAGCCCCAGCTCCTGGTGTTGTCTGGTTACAGTTCAGGAAGGAAGACAGAAAATAGTAACCGCTGGACAACGGGTCATCGTTTTATTGGCAAGAGGACTTCAGGTGGAGGAGAACAGGCTTGGATAAAGTGCAACCTCAGTGCAAGCCAAACAGCCAGAAAACTCATGGTTAGCTCCCAAGAAGGGTTCTGAGACTTCTCCCTTACTTTCTATCCTAGTGCTCTAGAGACTCAGAAATCCAAAGGCCCAGTTCCACATCTAAAAAGCACCTTTTCTACTTGTACCTCCTCTGTTTTTGTATGCCAGGAAGCCAGCCCTGCAGACCGGTTTATGAGTCTGGATCCCTCCTTACTATTAATTGGGTCTAAACACCTTATTTATTCTAGGACCTCATAGGTCTGTCCTGACTAAGGAGGGGTGTTCTGTGCTCCCACCTGCTTCTGACTGGGAGACAGCTGGCTGGAAGTCCAGAGTAGGACATGTATGACCCTGTATGAGTCTCCTCACCTCCCCGGGCCTGTACAGTTACAGTGACAAGTTTCTGGCCCAGCAGCTATAGCCTGAGAATGTGCTACCTGTGTCCTTGGCTGTCCTGCTGCACAGTGTCACACACGCTGACTCTGCTCAGTCAATCCACGCTCCTCCCATCCCTCAGCCCTGCTGTGTTCATACCTTACATATACTTCCAGGCTTCCCCCCCTTAGCTGTTTGCTCTCGGGCCAGTTGCTTGACCTCTCTGTGTCTCAGAAACATCATCAGTGAGAAGGAATAAAGTAGTACCTATCTCATTAGATGCCCTGAGGATTAAGTGAGAGAACCACAGAGGACATTAAGCGACAAGTCAAGTAGAGTCATGTAACTCAGGCTTTTCCAGGGCTTCCCCAGCAGCACACTACCAACACAGATCCCTGTGAATTGACAGACAAACACTGCCCTTCCCAGCCCAGAATCCCTGAGGAGAGGGACTGATGCACAAGGAGGGTGGAAGGCTCATGACCTGGCCTGCAGGTGACAGTGGAGGCCTATTTATATGTGCTCATTGACACTTGTCATTGCAATCCTGCTGACGATAGCCACAAAGTGCAAACAGCCCAAATCAACAGGTGACTGGATACACAACAATGTGGTGTACCCAGACAAAGGAAAACTGCTCCGCTAGAAAGAGAAACAGCATTCTGATACATGCCACTACACAGAGGAACCATTGTACTTAGTGACCTAAGCCAGACACCAAAGAGCAACTATTGTCCGATCCCATTTCTGTGAAGTATCTAGTTGCTATGAGTCGGTACCGACTCAATGGCACCTAACAACAACAGCAACATCTAGAATAGGCCAATATAGAGACCAAAGTCCATTAGTGGTTGCCAGGGCACAGGTGAGAGGGAGGGGGAAGGATAACTCGCTGCTTAGGGAACACTGAGCTTCCCTAAACTCATACCCAAATTAAGGGTGAAGGCTTAATTTGGGAATGGATAAGAGCAGATAAATAATATGGTGGTTGTTGTTGTTGATGTTAAGTGCCATCGAGTGGGTTCCGACCGTTAGCGACCCTGTATTGGGTTTCTGAGAAGCTGATGATGAGCCTGAACCGGCGACCTTAACATTCAAACCGACTTTGCAGCCCAGTGCATTAGCTCATAGCACCACACCAGGACTCCAATAATATGATATGACAGACGTAATTAATGTCACTGGACTATGCCTGTGGAGGTTATTGAAATGTCAAATGTTTCATATTAGCTACATAAAGGAGCTCTGGTAGCGTAGTGGTTGAGTCAGTCTGCTAACCTCAAGGTCAGCAGTTCAAAACTACCAGACTTTCCGAGGGAGAAAGATGAGGCTATCTGTTCCTGTAAAGATTTACAGCCTCAGAAACCCTATGCTGGGTCGCTATGAGTCAGAACCGACTCCACGGCACACTGCCACCACCACCACCATCATTAACTACATACATATACAAACAGTCCCTAAATGTCCCTTCCAACATCTCTGCTCTTTTGCCAACTGCCTTGTCCCATCCCCTCCCTTATCTTACCACCCAGTCTCCCCTTTCCTTCCTCCACAATCTCTCTCAGCATCCCCAGGAACCTAGCTGGGCTCTACCATACTGCCCTAGGTTACCTGACCCAGCAGGCAGGACCTTTGGGGCAACATGCTCTGTAGGGAAGTGTTAGCACCTGCTTATTACTTCTATTACCAACACCTTTGTTCCCCAGCTATCTTATGACAGCTAAACAAAGGGAACTTTAAGTCCCTTTTAACCCTTTTGTGACCCGTACCGTATGCAAGGTAAGTTAAAAAGTAGTGTTATATTAGCATAGTGGTTACGAATTGGGCTGCGAACCTTAAGGTCAGCGGTTCGAAACTACCAGCCACTCTGCGG